TAGATTATGTTTTTCTTCGATCTTATTATTTATTCCTTTATTCTTAGGAGCATCATCTTATATGACCTTGGCGAAATAGATTCTTCCACTTCTAATCTTGCCCCCGAATGCCGGCTATGCTGTAGATATCTTCATTGATGGACGATGTTTTTGCGTATCTCCATGGTACAACTTTATTTGACGTGGGAGACATGAACAAACACGATGACGTCCTTGCCCCCTCTCCTTTATTTACTCGGATGACCAACGGTTGAGGCTTATTATCCTCCTTAGGCGGATCAACCGTTAGGGAAAACTTGATGACCAAATGTTTGCTCTTCATCTTATTCCGATTAACGGAAAGCACATCAATTAATCATTTCTTTTTATTATCTTATTATTATTAAAGTGAGAATGAATGCAATTTATGAATGCAATAGACGGTTGAAGAGATGATGAAAACAAATAATTTTATTTATTTCATCTAGACAGTGTACATTCCTCAATGCAATGTTTCGAAGTACATTTTTTTTTAAAAAAAAAGCGGAGAAGCCTAAATGAACCTATAGGCGGGTTAGAATTTTCATTTAATTTCTTTTTGACTTCTCGTGCATGGCATGTGAATGTCCTAATCCTCTTTTCATGGTATTGAGGAATGTCTACTTCTTCGACTGTCTATTATTAGATGCATGTTATAAGGATGCAGTTTGGTGGATGCATGTATGCAAGTGTTTGTTTTTTCCTAAACATTATCATGTTTTATTTTCTAACATGATGTATGATAGTGTTTGAAATTTTGTGTTTTTTTTTTTTTTTCGGATGAGGGCATGAAGAATACCAGCCGCTTTCTAGAATGCAAAAATATTTTTATTGTTTAAAATGAATGATTTATGAGATGAATATTCCTTAAGACAATGACTTAGGTATCCTCCTTAAAGTCTATGCTTTGTGAGGTATCATACCCACCTTGGTGTAATGGTTCCTTCCCCATCACAGATTTGACAAGTATAATGGGAATCACCATCACACCTTAGTATACTTGTCCTTTCCTTGTCGCGAAGGTCACAAATGTGCTCGGGGCCTCTTTCGCCATTGTCTTAGGGATATCTAGTACTCCTTATAATGAATGTATTTATGCATGCACCAATACAAAAGGGTGATAGATGTTCAAAGTGGCATAACTTTTGACTGAGATGTCCGATTTGGACGCACAACATATCAAAACGAAGAGAAAAAGGTGAAGAATCAATTTGCAAATTCCCAAAGGGGATTTGGCCCAGTAATTTTCCCAAAAAATGCTCCTAAGACCCATTTTTTGGGGATTTATTAAAATGATGCGCATGCATACTTTCCTTATGCATTTATTTTCTTCCTTAGTTTTTCCACTTATGACATGATGTGATATGAATGATACGACTTTGTTAAAATTCTTTTGATTTTGTTATTATTATTATTTTTTTATTTTTTTTAGAGCCTTTTATCTCTTTTGTCGGACTGTGTGACTACTTAGCTTACAAAGAACCTGAAACCAGGCAAGCTAAAAGGCAGACTATCCGAGATAAAATGGCTTATTGCGAAAGAATAATATTTAGCGTCCTTTATCTCTTCTGTCGGGCTGCGTGGCTACTTAGCTTACAAAGAACCTAAAACCATACTAGCTAAAAGGCAGACTGTCCGAGATAAGGGTGTTTATTGTGAAAAATATTTTTTGTGATTTTTTCTGTTGTTTGGTTATGCTATGCAATCAAATGCAACAAACGAATGTGCACACAATTCAATCATCCGCGAACAGGTAAGAAGTCGTTTTAATCACGAGGTAGAGTTTTTCTGCAGAAAAGTGCATTGGTGAAGGTAGGTTCTAACTGTTCTCACCAAGGTTAAGGCCCCCAAGGTGCCCCCATTATAGGGTCCCCACTCTCCAGCCTTCCGACCATGCTTAGCACTAAGGCCATAGTCAGTCTTTGTGCCAAAAGAGGAAGGTTATCACCTTGAGTGGTGGTTTCCGATCACACTGGTGGGCACAAGACCATCACTACAGCGAACCATACCTGCCACCCACTCCCTATGGATTTCTCACTTGTCCCCAGGTATAGAGGGAACTGTTGTGTGCAAGGGTTTGTGTACAATTTGTATTTCAAACAATTGCGTAAATATAAACAAACAACAGTTATTAAAGCCAAGCATTAAAACATGTTATAATACAAGGTAGGGTAAAAGCGTAATTTCTTAGTTTATTTATTAAACTGGTCCATCACTAAATGGGATCAACTCTCTAGGCTTCCCCAATGGAGTCGCCATCTGTCGCCGCCATTAAAACGAGGCGGTCAGAGCGACACGATGGTTCCGACTTTCCAATTTTCGCGTTTTTATTGGTGTGGTTACAACGCCTTTAGGTTGTCCGATAACCGGGCTGAACCTAGAGGCGAGGTTTTTGAAAGAGTGTTCTTGGATTGTCCTATAACCGGGCTAACCCAGGAACTAATTTTGAAGGGTTCTTCTGGAGTTGCCACCGATGTTTTTACCGGAAACATCGGGAAAGGAGTGAAAAGGCGTTGGTTTTCGAAAAACCAACTTTGGTCATTAGAACCAGAGTTGGGTAAGGGAGTTAGTTACGTGTAAGGAAAGTGTTAGTTCCCTTACGACGTCCCTTTCGGGTTCCCTATGATAAGCCAGCTATTTAAATAAGTAAATCGGTGAAAAGATGCTTTTACCCTTGTATTTGCGGAATTAACGTTACGACTACATGACCCTGATATCTATTGCATAATTAAAAATAAAGCAGTAAAAGAGAGAGGGAGAATGTAAAAACCTCTGAGGCAAACTTTATATTAATTTCTTGAAAACTATGGTGCTTTTTGGCAGCCCTTCACTCTTTACAGCGCCAGGAATTTCTCGAAAACGCTATAAAAAACTCTAAAAAGCTCTCAGAAACTCCAGAAATGCTTCGGAGGGGTTATAACAAGAGAATTTGAGGAAGTGATAGAAGAGAATATGAGAGAACTGTGTGAAATGAAGGGGGGAAGCGCTACTATTTATAGGGATTCGCGCTTGTCAGGTCGAGACGATCGTCTCGTCTGACAAGGTCGAGACGGCCGTCTCGCCTTGCAAAAATGGTGAGAAGGCTGTCTCGCCAACCGGGAGGGCCGTCTCACCAACCGGGAGGGTCGTCTCGCCATTCGCAAGTGGCGAGACGGAGACGACGGTCTCGACTTGCAGAAGTGGTGAGACGGCGGTCCCGATAAGCGAGACGACGGTATCGACCCTAAAAGGCGAAAATCCTTATTTACATGCAGAAAATCCCTCCTATCCTAGTATGAGGCCTAATAGTCTCTCCTAATGGCTTCTTAGGCTTCATCCATCTTCAAAAAGGAGGTCTTCTGGTCTTTATTATGAGGCCAAACAAGATTTGGGGTCTAGAATAATGAAAGCTTAGCACGGACAATGAGAAATAGTTAAGACAATAAGCATGAAAAGGATAAACAACATTTAACCAGTGGGAATAAGAGAGAACAAATGGTCTCTTTGGATTTGTAGAAGCTTGTAAGTTGTAAAGATGAGCCTGATTCAGAAACCTAAAAGTGGTTTTGGAACTTTGAATATGGGAATAATCATACATATGATTGAGGTTTAAACCATGTGACTTTGACTAATCAAATAAAACATCCTTCCTTAACCCGTTTCTTCTTACTTAGTCACAGTATTTTAGTATATCTTAGGTATTATTTGCACTATTATTCTAACATAACTAAAGTTCTTTGCCATAATCTTTATAATCCTTTGATGCAAAGTTTTAGCCAGCTTTATTATCGAATTACAACTCTAATTTTAATAAAGAAAAAAAAAAACCAAAATAACATTTAAATATTTTTTATGACTTTTAGTATTTTTTTATTTGTGCAAATAAATGAAAAATAATCTATTGTTGACACACTTATACCGTAACTTAAAAGACTTATGTAAGACCACAATCAATTATCACACATTAATGTGGTATATTTTAAGTTGTGTTTTCAAAAATACCAGTTTTTTTTTTTTACGAAAGATAACAGAAATTGTTCGAAAATATTCAGATGCAATACATTCTAATTTATCCAGAGCTTGCAATTTTGGCTGCTTATTTTTTAAATTTAAATAATAAATATTATCTATTAATTTTAATCGGGGGTTGCAAAATTTACAGAAGAAGACCAATTTCAAAATAATATTTATATGAACTCCTGAAAAAATATCCACGATCACTTATAATTTTGTTCAAAGCCGCAAACAAGATGACGTTAATATTCTATATATTCAGCATATATTTCAGAAAGTGAATATAATAATTAATTAAAATTCTTATTATTTTCTTTAAAGTCAAAGTTTTATCTCAAAAGTATATGTTGACTTTTAATAAAAAAATCTTATACACAATATAAAACAATTGTGTTTTAAGTGTTGTTATTTTTTTTTTTAAAGTATATTTATGGAGAGGGCTCTAAATTTTATATAAAAAATGTTTTTCATAGAAAAAGTTATATGAATTAATTAATTGATGTTATATATAATATTTAAATCTCTTAACTCTTATATTATTACTAATATTATATGTTTGCATAACTTTTCACCCCTTTTGACAACTCCGTTATGATTTCATGTCGATTCCAAACAGAAGTAAAAAGTAAGGGTTCTGACAGACTCTGTTTGTTAATAAGGTTTGAAAAATGATCTCACAACTTAATTTTTTCAAAATAACTCAATTACAACTTCATTTATTAATAAAATAATAATTTTAAATTAATTTAATTTAAATTAAAACTTTTAATGATTATAATATTAATAAAATAAATCGTAAATTAGATGTTTGTGGATGAATGAGTACTTATAAGGTTTTTATATTGCTGTTTTGATTCCTCTCTTTTTCCTTAATTTTGGACACATATACGTGCCTCAAACATAACAGTAAAAAAAAAAACATTGGAAGTCAACCCTCACATTTCTCAGTGTATCAAATGATTCGATCAAAACAAGTTCATAAGAAGTACCTGAACTCTTCCCTCAGAATTCCATGCTGTTTTACCATGACGCACCACAAAAATCTCAGCATAATCTGTATCTGGATAGCTATAACCACCAACAACTCATTAAGGAAATATCGAATTCAAAACAGCCAAAAAAAAGCATGCAATAATCAAATTAATCATTTAATTTTCATCCTTTATTTCCAATTTTCAAACCCCACGTACGTGCACATGTGTAATAAGCACGATATACAGATATATTTGAACACCATGAATGAAAAACGAGGAAAGAAACCTGGGAAGAGAAACGGTGGTGGAAGACTCGGGCATTCTGAGTGAAGAAGCCACTAAAGAATTTGAAGCAGAAATATTAAGATGAAGAAAGAGGAAAAAGAATGAGGTATATATGTGAACGTTAATGTGGTCGTTTTGTTTATAGTTTCGTTTCCTCGTTACTTCCCTTTTTAATATTTTAACTTTTGAGTTCCTCGTAGCTTCGCTTTTGTCGTTGCTAACAGTGTTCCACGTGTTTTCTCATAATATACATTTTTTGGGTTGACGGGACTGTAGAATATAACAACTACTGTGAGGGAGTGGAGAACGCTGTTCCTGGTTGCTTCGTTTCTGTTGTTCTATAATATAGTACACATTTTGGGTTGAATCTCCCTAGTCACTGTAAATGTGGCAACGACCATTAATTAGTTGGAAATAACTAACTGGATACAAAAATTCATTATTTCTTATGGTTGCGTCAAACTCTGCGGCACCAATGTTAATTACAGTAAATTTCACTCAAAAGCCATAATCACCATTAGAGATAAGCGCTGACACAAAAGAAACAATATAAGATGAATATTAATAGTCCAATCCAGCGCAATAATCAATGCGCTTAGACTGTTGTAAACATCTTCAAAAGTTACTTCAAAGCTTTACAACAACTATTTCTCAACGGTTACAACTTACTACCAACCTTTCCTCGTAAGATAGGAAAATTAACATATTAGCATAAAAAACAGTCCCTATTTATATTTTTGGAACAGTTTATATCATTTCGTAAGACAAATTAGCGTTTAAAGAAATCTAATAAAAATACGGGACTAAAAAAATGATATTACAGAAATAATACTCAGCACAAAATCATAATGACTACAAGCAAGAAGGAATATATTGAAGCCTCTAATCATGACCTTCTTCGAACAACATTCATCGTATCCTTTCGCTATAGCGAAGCCGGCATCGAACGTTGTACAGTACCAGATCCAAAACTAGTATAGCCAACCCTCGCGCATAAATAACGATCTCAAAGCTTCCCTGTTTCATAACCAAATTAGACATGGTAAATCCACCAAAAGACTCAAGTGTTTGAATATTTCCTTTTTAAGGAGAATGTTTACTCAAGATTTAGAAAGAAAAAGTTTTTTTTTTCAATTTTATCTTAAAAATGTATAATATTTATAAATAAGTAAATCATTAAATATATAAAGATACTTTTCCGCAACGTAACTCATACAACCGTCCTGAGTAAATTGATCTGGGCTAAGAGGACGCTCGCACCCTGGCCTTTCATACAGCATAATATAAAATAAAATAAATACAAACATACAGGATAAAGGAAAACGTCATAAACAATATGCTTCATAGGAATCTCACATGAACATGCAACATACGACAACGGTCTTAGGAAATCTCAAATGACAGTGCGGTTTCAACAGATAATTGTGGAAGCATTATATTCTTAGCCAAAGATTTGGTACTAGCTAAAACGGATAACCAAAAAGGACTAAGCTTCATGCCTGTGCAAGGTTTCATCATGTCAGACGAGGGAACAACAGAGAGAATCATGTACAAAGAACTACAAGTGGAGGGGAACAACAGAATTATTCTGAAGAAAGCAAAAGCAGAACTAGCCAAGGCAAAGGAAGAGCTCAATAGAGCTAAGGAGAGTTCCATGCAATCCTGGCTTGACTCCGAGCCTCTCATAGATGAACTTGAAATGCAGAAAGCCAATCTTGCTGATGCTCAACGAAGTGAAAATACTACTGAGAAGCTGGAATCCCACCTAGAGACAATCCACAAGAGCATCAAATCCAAAAGAGAGGATCAACTCAAGATAGAATTGATGATCCAAGAAACCAATCAGACCTTGGATAACACGCGTAATGACATGGAAAGGCTCAAACTTGAGAGAAACAAAGATAAGAAAACACTAGCAAAACTGAGGCAAACCCTTCATCTAAGGAAGCAGACCGTTCAAACTTTGCAGCTCACGCTTCAAGCTGTACTACTGGAGTCAGATGCTGTGGAAGAATCTTCTGCCACAGTTCTTCAACAGATCAATCATCCAGAAAACCGCAGTGATGTTGTCCAGCTTACTAATGAAAACTACTATGCCCTAACAAGAAGAACCAAAGAAATGATTTCACATGCAAATTCACGTGTTTCTGTTTCCATGACGAAGAAACTTGCAGCTGAGGCTTCCCGTGATTTGGCGTTATCAAGATTGAACAAGATTTATTCCAGTAGATCATGGAGTATGAACAAAACACACATAATGGGGCAACGGTACACAGACAGGAATGCAGGCCAAGACACAATTGTTGAAGAGGAAGTGGCAACAAATGTTTCACTCAAATCCTCTGGTGAAGAATCATTACCCAAGTCCAAAGGGGGAAAACAACAACACTCCAAAAAATCGGTAAGTAATGATGTTAAAATAATAAAGAAAAGATCATCCATTTTGCATAAAATGAGAAAATGTCTCTACGGAGGTTAAAGAAATCGGCTGGCTGACTCCACATTTTCTTAAATGAATCAATAAATCAACAATCATGTTACAGAGAAAGATGCAAAGTTTAACTTTTCATAAAATTGATATCATTTAAATCAACAAAAGGGGAGTTTTACTGATTTGTTTTGTCTTGATATTAACATGCTGCCAAATATGTTTCTTGTTCACCATATACTATTGGAGGGTCAAAGAAAACTAGGGCAAGTGATTTTTTGGGAAGTCGTTATGAGATGTCTTAATCTGCCAATCTCTTTTACAAAAAAAATCACCTGTTAGCGGTAGATTGATCAAAGAGTTCGACAGAAAGAAAGTATGAAGATGTGGATAGCTCTGTCACAACTTCACAATCTAGAAAGCATAAATTCAAAAACATACAATTATATCGGATGTGTTCATAGACTACTGACAAGAAAAATCAGAAACTGTTGGCAGTGTAATTGACATTCCCCCCATAAAAATCTGATTTTTCAGCTCCATGCATCATTACTTCAAGAACTCTATTTGAACATTCTAGAATAAGCTTTTTTCTCTCTATCACGTCTATCGGCAACCTGTATCCAAAAAAGGTAATCAGAATAAATTTCATTTGGCACAAAGAAATAGATTGCATGAAAGATGACAGAAAAAACGAAAGGTTAAATGACTGACCTTCTTCCGGGCAGTGGCATACTCCTTTTTAATCCCTCCTGAAAAACGGCGTAGCAAGAGGATTAAGATTAAGCTTTATTAAAAATACCATAGGTTAACTTCACAACACCAATAAACTTAAAAACAAAGAGTCATGGTCTAATGATTTATAGGATTTATATATATCTACTTCTCTTTCATAATTTTTTAAAAGAATATTTGATTCTCACTAATATTGTTACTTTCCTTAAAGAGATTCCAGAATTCAGACTCGAGGATTGCAGAAAACATATGATTTAGAAGATTTATTTGCCCAAAAATAGGACGATTTTAAAATACTGAAAACTGAAAGGTATAAAGACAAACATAATGAAATGGAAAGAGTGGTTTGTCAGCCAACTATGAGATTTTCTCATCTTAGCATTGTATCTAATCATGGAAACCTTTAACCCTGGTATGAATAAAATAAAATCCTAAATGAGAAAAATCTGCTCAGTCCAAAGAATTTCATCAAGAACCCACGATGTCCATTCCTCAACAACACTTTCCTCCATGAAGTAAAAAGAAACTTATTAATTTAAGAAAACCAATTTCTATAAAACATGCATAACATGAGCTGAGGCAGGAACAAAATATAAACTCATCAAATTTAAATAGACAAGACAATTACCATCATTAGGCTCTAACTCTAATGCTTTCTTGAAGCTTTCAACAGCAGCATCCAGGTCATTGAGTAACATATATGCCTGAGATTAAACAAGCAAAACATGAATGAACAGCAAATTACTACAGATTAATCATGACACAGTGGTTCAGCTCGCAAAGTACTTGAATTATTTATCCCCTATGTTATAGTGAAATGTTAACAACTAACACAATAACGGCATGGATTTAATCCAAATTAGCATAAATCAAAATACAATTACTAGAAATGGGAAGCATAATCTTAAACTCAAAAGCACAATGAAAAATTACAACTTTCAACAGAGCAAACAATTCACAAGCCAGTATCAACCACTTCCATCATCAGCCTATTATCTTCATTGGAAGATGCCAACTAACCTGGCCTTTGCGAAACAGAGCTTTAGCATTATCTCCGTCGTGCATTGCAAAGTCTGAATCCAGTAACGCTCCTCGTAGATCACCTAATTTCAATTTACAAGCCTAAATAAAAACAAAAAAACAAAAACAGGACTCAGGTCACTAGTTCAAGGTAGCAGATAAAAGAAAATAAGATGACTACAGAAGATGAGTGCGTGTAGTTGATTATAGCAGACCCAGACACAGGAAAGTAACAATGAAAACACATTTTCATGATTACATCTAATTTCTCCATTCTCGAGTCCCCCACCCTGAAACCCTGAGAGTAAGTTTTCATGTAAAACACATGGCACACCCTAATAAAATAAGCATTCACAAAGCAGCGGCCTGATCCTCAAGTTAATAATCAATAGTCAATCATCTTGGTCAAATAAAATATACATCATTAATGATTCCCTAAAACTATAAATAAGTAAATGCTAGTGAAGGCAGAAGTATTGGTTACTTACAGAGCTATTGGTAAAGATTTGAGATTTTGTCTTCCTTAAGGCGGCACTGTTCTCTGCAAAGTTTAAAAAAAAAAGGCTGAGATGTGAGATAGTAAAGAAGAAGCAGAAAACTACCAAGATAGTTCAATGTAAGAACCAAAAAGTAAACAGGCTGACCTTGGTCAATGTCGTCCTTCTCCCAACACACATCCAAATAGCGCAACGCTTTGCGATACTTTCTCAGAGCCATCTTATAATCTTGCTTCTGTTAGGTGAGAAATAAGCAAGTACGTGTTAACCATTAACGTGGGTTCTACATGTTGAAATAAGAGCCACATAAGCTGAATCCCTAATGTGTCAAGCACATAGGTTATCTCTTTATATATATATATATATAAAAGATAAATACAATGATTAAGAAAATAAACAAATGATTAAGAAATATATATATATATAAAAGATAAATACAATGATTAAGAAAATAAACAAATGATGTGGATGTCCCCTTACTTTTAACACTACACATTATTAGTATAAAATTGACTGTCATCCAACTAGAAATCATAATAGGTGAGATTTTGGAGATAATTATAGTCAAAGTCAACAAATTTCTCATACACGTCAGTGATCAGATGATTATTACTAAAGAGTATCCGCAGAGCGCCGAAACTAATGTCCCTCGGGAATCAAACGACATTAGAAGTGCATGGACATTTTACTCAAAACATTACACTATAATACCAAATATGACAACAATTACAAGCATAATAAACAAAAGCTTTAACCTTGTACTGCTCATTCCCCAGAGCCTTGATTGAATCCACAGAACTCATCCACCAAGAAAGTTCATCAGGTTTGACATCAAGATCAGCAGGCCAATCGGGATAAGTGTCACCATCCTTAAAGAAGTTAACGACTCCATCATCTTGCCCTTCAGAAATTTCACCACAATCGACGATTACGACGTCCTGAGTGGGACGGTTGTTTTCGTCAGTAACAACGTGTTCGACGGAGCGAACGACGCCCATTCCTTTAACAACTCTTCCGAAAACGACGTGTTTACCATCCAAGTTAGGGGTGCGCGTGGTGGTGATGAAGAACTGAGAGCTATTGGTGTTGGGTCTCGCATTGAACATGGAAAGCATACCCTTCCTCTCGTGCTTCAGCTCCAAGTTCTCGTCCTCGAACTTCAGGCCGTAGATGGACTCCCCTCCGGTACCATCGCCAGCGGAGATGTCGCCTCCTTGGATCATGAACCCTTTGATCACACGGTGGAAACACACGCCCTGCGGTAACAGTAGCAGAAAAAAAAAAAAAAAAAACTTCAGAATTCGAACAATAAACGAGAGAGTAACTTAAAAGAAGAAAAAAAAAGGACCTTATAATGAAGGGGGACATTAGTGTTGGGAGCAATGCCCTTTTCACCGGTGCAGAGAGCTCTGAAATTTTCTGCAGTTTTGGGAACGATGTCATGGAATAGTTCAATGACAATTCTTCCCTCTAACTCTCCGGCGATGCTAATGTCCAAGAAGCATTTAGGGTTCACCATCTTAGAAAAGGGTAGAATGATTGAGATGGAAGAGAAGAGAAATGAAAGAATGGGAAGAGAAAAATGAAGCAGTAGGTGAGTTGAGTGCAAAACCCTAATCCCGCTTTTTAATTTCAAACTCCTTTGTTTTCGTCCCACCAGAGACAAAACTTCTACGGTTAACAACTTACACGTGTCACTGATCGCGCCTTTTCTTCTTCCCTCTCCACAATCATGTCCAGACTTCTTGAAGTGTATAATTTAATTAATTTATACCATTCTATCAATAACTTCTTCTTTTTTTTAACTTTCTTCTGAAATAAATGATTTATTTTATGTTTTTTATTCAATTATATATTTCATTTAATTCCTTTCAAATATAAATAAAATAAATAATTTCTTTAATTTTTTAATTATATATTTTTTTAAAATATAAAATAATAAATAAAATTAACTAAAATTAAATATTTATATTTTAAAATTTATATATATATATATATATATATTAAAATTTAAATATTAAAATAAAATTAAGGACACAAAAAGTGTGTATACTTATTTTTGTCCGAGAAAATAATACTAAAGGAATGATGTTAGAATGAAGAAAAATGTAGAATTGTATTGTTGCATTTTAAAAAACATTTATTCTCACAAAATAGGTGTGTATAAATAACAAAAATAGATGCTAGTGGTAAAAAATAGTCAACTATCATTAATATTTAATTTGGATTATCACAACATATTGTGAATATCTAATAAGGGATTACAGTTAAAAACTTATTTAATATGTTGTTCTATCATAGTAACTATTTATGTGATTTTTTTAAAGTCTATAGTTTTAAAATTCTCACACTCATAATAGATTAAGTAGAATAACTAAACTATATATTTTTTAGAGATTTTTAGTCTCGTGTAATTTTATTTACAAAAACACATAAATATCTTAAAATATTTATTATAAATAATAACATTTATGTTTTATAAAAAATTAAATTCTCTATTTTGTTTGAATTTCTATACAGAGACAAAGTAAATAAGCATAAAATACAATCCCTCTTTTTTCTCTGTAGTATTGCATTAAATGGGGTTATACAATATGAAGGAACAATAATATGATTTGTAAATAGATTTTTAGTGAGAAAAAACGAATAAATTAATTGAATTGAATAACAATAAATAAACATCCTTAGATTATATACACATTATGAGAATTCAGAAAACAAAAATAGATTAATATTATTCCTACCAACAATATATTTTTCATAATTTATTATTTATATAATCATAATTTATCAGTTAAGAAGACTAAGATCATTTTTACTGAATATTTTATTTAAATAAAAATAAAAACACACTTAAAAATTTATGTTAAGATACTTTTAATAAATCATTATTCAAACAAAATATAAGTTAAATGTGAAATAAATTTAGAATAAAATTAAATATTTATTTGTTTTAATTATAAAATATTAAAATTTATAACATATTTTTTTACAAATATTATTACAATTTTTACAAAAAAAATATTATATTTTTTTTATGATTATTATATTCACAATTTTAATTTTTCTTATATATAATAAATTATAAAAAATATAATATAAAGTTATTATCATATAAGTGTAAATATGTTCTAAATAAAATAAAATAAAATTATAAAAAAATAAAATATATTCGTATATGTTTATTAATTGATATTAATTTTAAATATATAATTTTATATTTAAATATAATAAATAAAACATTTAATAATATTTCACTTTATCAAATTTTAATTTTTTATTATATTTTTTTCAAATTATTTTTAAACACTCTAATTATTTATCAAATATGAGTTCTAGTTCCAATATTATATTTATTATTACTAAATAGAATATAAAGACATATTTTATTCATCTTAATTTTTTTGACGCCAATTATAAAAGACATAAATTAAAAAATAGTTTGCAAGTCACTAATAAGAAAATAATTATATAAATAAAAAATATATAATAAATATTTGTTATATAAGTAATTTCTTCTTGTTTTTTTAATGGGTATATTATTTTAATAATAACTTGAAATACTCTTTATTAATTATATAATTTCTTCTTGTTTTTTTAATGGGTATATTATTTTAATAATAACTTGAAATACTCTTTATTAATTATACATTGATTTTATTTGATATTTAATTTATATGTATTTATTTATAAAAATCTAAAATAGAATATCTGTATCAATATAATCATAGCAGTAATATATACATAAATTTAGTTATGATTGTATAAAACATTTATTTATTATTATATTATATGAGTATATACTGATAATTGTGAAAAACTATTTTTAATGAGTATATTTTTTTTATTTAAACTTATAAGAATAACTTGTAAGTTTAATAGGTTCTTATTTAATTTATTTATAAAAACAAATATAAATTTAATGTAATAATTTTTAAAAATAAGTAATTAAAGTATTTATATAAGTATCTCATGTTTGAATTATAAAATAAATTACAATTTAACAAGAGTTTTTTTTAATTATATACCCTAATTTTTGTGGCCAATATATTCTCTAGATTCTTTGTGGATTGTCACAGCTACATGATCAGATGGTTGTTGGAGAGAAAGTCTGATTGACTGATTGATTTGTAATACACTCCTTAAATGAAACGAAAGAAATTCATTAGAAAGAATCCTAATAAAAAATATTGATAAAAATTTAAAAATGAAAAATACTTTTTAATTTTTTCTCTTATGTGTTTTCTTTTTAAATAAAATAATATTTATTAATTTCACCATTCTTCTTCTTTATTTTCCTCAAATTTATTGATACAAACAAAATTCATGCTCATACATTGGTGTTTTTATTATTTCCTTGACTATACTATTATCCTTAAAGACACCCATGGGTGCATCAGAATAAATATTTCTAGGTAATCATTCTGCAGTTTTTTTTTCTTTTAGAATATCTTTAATGGAGGAGGATGCTTAAAAAATATTTATAGTTATTTCTAGCAATTATTCTATTAGAGAAAATTATGTGACATAAAGGTTATTTCATCTCAACACAAAAATGTCCAGAGAATCAATTGATACTTCAAATAAAATATTATTATTTACATTTTCTTCTATCATACAAAAATTCAAATTCAAAGCTAGTAGAAAAATCATAAAACGTAGGAATCATAGTGAACCACGATGAATTTGTCATCATCAATCAGCCTATTACAATTTTTCTCGGCAATCATTACTAACTTCCTAATTTACCCAACTTCATCTTCACCTCAACCTCTCTCGTTCATAACCTCAACAAAATAAATAAATTTCTTGAATATATATCAAGGAACTCAATCAACAAAATAAACTCGTGGATGTTAAATAAAAAGTAATTTATTTTCATTTAACTTTTAATCAAAAGCATAAAAACTCATCAATGGACAAAGAATTCGCAAAGTGAAACCAAGATAAGAGAGTCATATAAATTGAAGCTCCTGTATCTCTAGAATTCTCTACAAATTGAAAATACGCGTTCCATATATTCCTTTATACAGATACACTGTGAACAGGACACCAAGCGTTGCTTCGAAGATAACTTAACATCTATTGACAACAAGCCTACAAATGAAATTGTCATCGTCTTGAATCCAGTTACAGCAAACGTGAAGGCAGCGAACACGAAGGCAGCAGTCATAGAAGCAGCGAACGCGAAGACAAATCTGAGAGAAGATATGGAGAATGAGAGGTGAGGGGAGGAAGAGGGGTGAGACCGATATCTGCGAACGCAGAGGCAGATATCAGAGAGGAGATTTGGAGAATGAAAGGTGAGGGGAAGAAGAGGGGTGAGACTGAAAAAAGGAAATGAAGAATGAAGATGGAGAAAGGAGACTTGAGGGAGCAGAGTGCATGTTGACAAGAAAATTTGACCGTTACAAATTGTATCGTTACTAAAAAAAGTAGTTGTTTATCACTCACAACAAAAAGTAGTCGTTCGTTGAAGCTTATTTTTATACTATAAAATCTTCATCAATGGTAAAAATAATTCACATTTCCTTCATTTCCTCATTTTTCTTCTTCTCCAATTATGGATCCCAATAAATTTAATCATCAATATCATTATAATTTATTACAAAATCATTCATCTCTTACTGGTGAAAATTCTCAAAAATCTCAAAATTATATTTACCCACCACAATTTTTTTGTTTCCACTACCTCCAATAACATCAAATATGAGTAATATTTCTCCTTCATCCAACATAGAACCTCCCTCCCCGATCGGACTTGATAATATCCAACTTGATTGAAGCGATGAAAATATATCTTAAAGGAAACCTCGTGTATCATTCTTAATACCAGAAGATTTGATTATTATTTGATCATGGTTGAATGTGTTGAAGGATACAATTATTGGAGTTGATCAATTGTTAACCAAATATTGGGAGCGGATCAAAGAAACATACAACAATGATAACAAACATAGCATTTTCACAAACAGGTCAATGAGTCAATTAAAATCTCGATGGAGTAAACTTCAACCTACAGTTCAAAAATTTAATGCATATTATAAACAAGCTACCAATCAAAAGAAAAGTGGTTAGGCTACTACAAATGGGAGTCATTGATCGACTAAGATATGAAAATGAGTATTTAAGGAGGCCTAACATCAAAGATATTGATCGACTACTATAAATGAGAGTCACAAGTGGCTTTCCAGGTATGTTAGCATCAATTGATTACATGCATTGGGAATGAAAAAATTGTCCAGTTGCATGGAAATGTCAATTTTGTCGAGGTGATCATGTTAACCCGACAATCATTCTTGAAGCTGTAGCATCACAAGACTTATGGATTTGACATTCACTTTTGCACCTGTAGTACACTACATTGTGAATGGAACCCAATATGATATGAGATATTACTTAGCAAATGGTATTTATCTAGATTTTGCCACATTTGTGAAAACTATTTCAATGTCACAAGGACAAAAGAGAAAATTATTTATTCAACAACAAGAGTCAGCAAGAAAGGATGTTGAACGTTCATTTGGAGTCCTTCAATCTTGATTAGCAATTATACGTGACCCGACACGTTTTTAAGATGCTCATACATTGAAGAACATAATTTATGCATGTATCATATTACACAATATGATTGTTAAAGACAAACGACATACTTATAAAAAGCATATTAATTATGATATTAGAGAAAATGAGACGTCAACCATTGATATACCTTAAAGTCCTCATCCTAATTTTAGATTTACATACTTTCAAAGGAGAGCAGTGGTTCAAGATAGAAATACTCAACACCAACTTCAAGCAGATTTGGTAGAACATATTTGATAAAAAATTGGAGGAGAAAATAATGAAATTTAATTTGATGTATTGTATTTTTTAGTATTATTTGATTTTTATTATATTTATTTAAATATTATGTATTTTTTATATTATTTTTATATTAAAATAAGGTATTATATTATTAATGAACGTAATTAATTATTTAATGTATATATTTATTTTTATAGAAAATATTAAAATAATATAAAAAATATATAAAATAATGAATTGTTAAGAGTTGCTTAAAATTTTTACCATTGGAGTAAAATTAAATAAGAGTTGTTTAACCATGACATGGCAAGTGTGAGACCCTTCTTTTACCATTTTCTAAGGTGAAACACCTCTTTTAAAATTTCTGCATTGGAGAAGCTCTTATCTGTCCTTATTGCCCTATAAGTACACTTATGTTGGTTATTTTCTCAAGAGACACATCAAGTCCTCAAAAAAGTTTATCGGCAACTCCCTATTATTGATAACCAAAGATGTAGTTGCGTTATCACTCATAAGGGCCTCATCTGTCTACAATAGTCCTAAATTCTTCACAAGGTTTTTGTAATACATGTTGTCAAATAAGTTTGGGGGTGATAGGATCCATTCCAACAAACCCAAGTTGACATCAAAACTTGTAATTGGGCACAATTTCTGTAAACTTTGTAGAAGTGAAGCATCTAGTGGTGGATCCGATTTTCCAGTGCCATTATGATAGGTAAGTGAAAGGAAGCAAACATGAGAGCACAACTAAATCCTTAATTTCAAGACCCTCTTGCTGGTAATGCTTTGTAGGGTTTCAAAGGCTGAAGGCAACTTATTATTGTGAAACAAAGTATGCAAAACAACCCTACGAACGTGCATGAAAATCAACTCCCACTTAAGTTTTCACTACCACTTACGTTTCACTACTGAGTGTTCCTTCATAAGTTGTAAATTCCCTCCTCATGGCATTTTCATAGGTGTTGGGGGGAGGTGACTGCTAATGGATATTTTGGGTGTGGGATGTTAGAAATTTGGACCTAATCTACACCTATAAATAAATGTGAGTATTTCCCTTTCAAAATCATCAATCACATCTCTTTCATCTTTTCTTCTCTCCTTTCCATTTTATTTTTATCTTGGGTTTATATATTCTTTTAAAAGTTTTTGCTAGTTTTTTAGTTCCTCAAAAATTTTGAGAAATTCATGTTATATCTTGGAGGACTTGCGCACTACATCGCAGATAAGTCTTTAAGGACAGTGACTATATGTATCAGGAATCAAGTTTTGTTCATATATTTGTTAGTTTATACAACAATCTTAAGGACTTGTGACTAACAGTATGGATACCAACAACAACGAGAAAGACAAACAACGCTTATGGAACTCAAACTGTCTTTGTGAAAACATTCTTGGATATTTCAAAAATTAAAGTTTTCAATGGGCAAAACTTCTGACGCTAGCAGGAACGCATTAGACATGTATGGCCTAACTTCTACTTTTATAACTACCAAACCTAACTCCAATACTCCTGCTAAACAAATAGAAGACTGGATTCAAACAAGGTATGTCGATACATTTTGCTTAGTGCATTGTCTAATGATTTGTTCGACGTGTACTGCTCCTATAAGGAAACCAAAAATATATAAGATTCATTAATTCTCAAATACACTGCTGAAGATGTCGTGAGACAAAGGTTTGTTATCGAAAAATACTACCGTTGGGAGATGTTAGAAGACAATGACATCAAGATCCAAATCAACTAGTACCACAAGCTGCTTAAAGCAAAAAACATAGTCTTACCTGACGAGTTTGTTTCAAAAATTCTAATTGAAAAAGTTTTGGAATCTTGGACGGATTATAAACAATAGTTGAAACACAGACACAAACAAATGTCACTGTCAGATCTTATCACATACATCATCATCAAAGATACCCAAAAGCAGTGTGTAGCTGCAAGGGTTAAGGCATTATCGACCAAAGAAAATATGATAGAAGATAAACCAACTATAAAAAGGTATGAGAAAAAGTTTGATTATAGGAAGAAAAAATTTAAAAATTTTCGTCCTATGAATCTAACCCCACCTTCAAGAAAAAGGAAAGTGCTTTGTTTATGAAAAAATAGGCCACCATGCACCTTAGTGCAGACTTAGAGTCAGAAACAACAATCCTCCTAAGGCAAATTTAGTCGAAGGGGAAGATACAATTGTTGCGATCGTTTCACAAATAAACCTTGTGATCAATGGGAACAAATGAGTGGTAAATTTTGGTGTTACCAAGCATATTTGTGCAAACAGAAGTGCATTTACCTCTTACACTAGTGTGAGGTAGAGAAGAACATGTTTATCTCGGTGATTCTAGGACAATTCCTGTCCTAGGAAAAAGTTCTTCTAAAGCTCAGATCTGGGAAAACTTTGGTCGTGGGTGATGTGTTACACGTATCATCAATAAGAGTTAATCTAATCTCTGTGATACTGTTAGGAAAAGTTGGGGTTAAAGTGTCATTTGAATTTGATAAGATTATTATGACAAAGAATAATGTGTTTGTGGGGAAGGGATATTGTGATCAAGGTCTTTTTGTACTTAATATTTATGAAGTTGTTAATGAAACTAGTTCTTCTGCTTATATTGTTTATTCTTATGATGTGTGGCATGTTAGATTAGGACATCTGAATTCCTCGTATGTTATGAAATTATAACGACTAGGATTAATTAATATGCATGATAAACAGAATAAAAAATGTGATACATGTATAGAATCTAAAATAACTAAGAAAACTTGTTATTTTGTAGAATGTCAAATTGAACTTGTATTCATATTGATCTAGCTTATCTAAAACAAACCATATCTAGAGGTGATAAAAATTATTTTATAACATTTATAAATAACTACTCTAGATACACTAAAGTATACTTAATTAAATATAAGGATGAAGCGTTTGACATGTTCTTAACCTATAGAGCGGAAGTAGAAAATCAGTTAAACAAAAAAATCAAAATGATTAGATCAGATAAAGGTGGTGAATATGTATTATTTGATGATTCATTTGTTAAAGAAAATATTGTTCATGAAATGACTCCACCATATTCACCTGAATCTAATGGAGTAACTGAGAAAAAAAAATAATTCTTAAAGAAATGATGAATGTCATACTTATTAATTATAATGCACCTCATAACTTTTGGGGAGAAGTTCTTCTTATAACATGTTTTCTTACAATATATGATACCACATAAGAAAATTGGCAAAAATCCCTATAAGTTATGGAGAGGTTATCAACCTAATCTTAAATACCTAAGAGTGTGGGGTGTCTACCTAAGATAATGTTACCTTATCCTAAGAAAAGAAAAATAGGTTCTAACACTTCTGATTGTATGTTCTTAGGCTATGAGGAACATAATATTGTCTATAGGTTTCTTATTCTCAAAAGTGATATAATTGAACATAATACTATAGTAGAGACAAAAAATGTTGGGTTTTTTTAACATATTTTTCCTTTAAAGGTTAGTGAGACACCTAAACAACCTATAAATATTAACAGTGATGATGTAACACCCCTTTCGAAATGCCACATGTAATTTTTTTTTTCACAATTGTTTTATCTCAAATAACACTTGATAAAAGATTTATCTTAAACCTCTTTATTCGTTAAAATAAAATATTATTCATCCAAACAACTAACTTAAACCATCAAAATGAGACTTAATATCAAATATGTGCAAACTCAAAATCATTACACTATTACATTATATTAAAAAGGACATTTTCAAATATCTAAAAAAAACCTCCCAAAAAGTTTCCCCGTGAGCTCCTCACCGCTAAGCTTCTCTAACAGTATTTGTATCAACATCTACTCCCGCATAACACAAGTCATACGATCATCGCAGGTGGAAACCAACACTACAAACATGCAAGGGTGAGCAAAACATGTATCTCATCACATATCATTCATGTCATCATATAATTCACCTAGCATTATCATAATGTAACAAAACTCATTCATAATATCCACAAGTACATATTTTCAATACTACAACAATAACATTTTATCATATTACCACCAAATAAAAATATACTGTATAAAATTCTCTTATAGTCAACCTCCATACTTTTCCCGTACACCAACGCCTCTTGGAAAAGTCCATATCATATTACTACCAAGTAAAAACAGACAATATAAAATTCTCTCATAGTCAACTCTCATATTTTTTCTGCGTGCCAACGCCTCTTGGAAAAGTCCCTATCATATTACTACCAAGTAAAAATAGACAGTATAAAATTATCTCATAGTCAATCCTCATACTTTTCCTGCGCATCAATGCCTCTTGGAAAAGTCTCTTCCCCTGCTTTCCATAGACTTACTAGCAACAACTCCACCCGCTCAACAAAGTCTTGGATGAAGCACTCTTGCTAACTTCATGCTAAAGACTTACGGAGAAACGAAACTCCTTTACCATGATTTGACAAAGTCTTCTAGGTAAAAAAATCATTATGGTTTTACGACTATCAAAGAACTCATATTGTTCCTTCACCTATATACACACATATGCATATAACATCTAATCGCAAATCAAACATACCTAAACTCATCATGTAGTTACATAATATCACAATTCAAGTATTTTTTTTTTCCTTTCATTTAAGGATTTTAACATATAACTCCCATAAATTCTGCACCAAAATAATATAGACAGCAGCAACAATAAAATAAAACAGCAGTAGTAGCAATATGAAATGAAAACAAAATAACATCATTTTAAAGATTCCACAACCAGAGCAGTACTCAAAGATATATTTTTATAAAATAAAAAAATAGTCATAAAATTATGAAATTAAATATACTTAACATATACATACAGTTACAACTACGATAAAAATTTCATCTCAAAACACCTCAATCTCAATTTTATATGATTTTTCAAAGTTGTTGGGCAGACATAGCAACTCTGGTTTACCCAACTCAAAACCTAATCACTTCCAAGATTTTTCATGAAAAAACTACTTGTTAGAAAACTTTGAAATAAATCACACACAAACTAGATATATGAAGGAATATATAAACAAAATTTCAAAATTAAAAACTTAGTAGATATTTTTATATAATTTTCCAAAGATTTTGTTTCCATGCAGATTTTTCTAGCAACACCTCTCAACACATTTTTCATCATCTTCCTCTAGAAAAATCTAATGTAAGTTATTTTTATGGCTAACTATAGGTTTTGACATCCAAGAAATCTATTTCTAAACTCTAAAATATTAAAGGAGCATTGTAGAGTATCCAAAATATACTAGAACAGCCATATAAAATTCTTATCAAATATTCTTGTTTGGTTCCAATTCACATAGGAATGAGATAAATGGTAGTTTAACCTAGGATTGATGATAAGTGTTGACAATTCAAGGACTTGATGTTGCACTTGATGAATATGAAGAATGGATTTTGATGATGATCCAAGAACTAAAGACTTAGAATATTGAAGATTGAAGATTGGTGATAATTGTATTGTAATAACTCCGTTTTATTTAAGATTGAGTCCGTATTTTTAGAGTCTAAGATAGCCGGTACATAGTCCGTAACTTAGAAGCTTCAAAAAGCTCAAATTTATCATTTAGGCTCGGCTTTAATCGATTATATAGGTAAATAATCGATTAAAACAGTGAGAAAACACTTTCTATACAAACTCACTGTTTTAATCAATTAAAACAACAGAAATAATCGATTGTTTTGTACTCGTTCAGTACGGATAATCGATTATTTCACCAAATAATCGATTATTCCGAGAGGTTTGGGTTCGACGTATTTGACTCTGTTTTAATCGATTATCACTCCAAATAATCGATTATTTCAGTCTGTTTTTCATTTTAAATTTCAAATTAACCCTATTTTCGAAAACCCAATTACCAAGAACCCTAGTTTCGAAATCCCCAATTCCTAAACCCTAATTTCCCTACTTAAACTCTGTTTT